AAAAAAAAAAAACGGGAAAAAAAAGACTAGGTTTAAAAGATTCCTTATCCTGTGGCTCCCTCTAGTGGATAAAATGTATATCACAGCCTCCATCTTCCAGTTGAAATAGCTGATAGTTTAGAATTAGATTTTGCAATGGACTCTATTTACACGAAGTGAAAATAGCAGTATTTTTTAATGATATGCTATTTACACTAAGTGCAAATAGCCATAGATTATATTTACACAATTTATAAATAGGACTATTTTCTTTGCGATAATAGCAGTTAGATGCTGTTTCTAATACTTGGTGCAAATAGTGGCCGATATCTGAACCCCAATATTGTAAAACAGTATGCAATAATAATGTATTGAGTGTACATTATCATTTTTATTCAAATTATTAAATGGATGCATCTTTGGGACAATAAAGCCCTCCCTACACCTAAACTAAACTGATAGAGACACCGTTATTTTCCACTCTTTGATTATATCCTTCATTTTTATTGAAAATAAATGCCTTTCCAATGTGATACGGGATGTGAAAAGGGAGAAGAACGAGTTCGGCAGAAAGAGGAATCGAACTCGGGTCGATCGGGTAAAAAAAAAAAAAAAAAAAAAAAAAAAACAATGTTTATGGGCTTTACCCGCACCACTGGAGTTGCTTTAGAGTGCACACTTTTTGCAATGTTGTCTAACACAACCACATGTTGGTGGGTGGAATTAGTGTAAATAGCCTCTGTTAACAAGAAAACAAAATACAGTTCCTTGCGAAAGAAAAAAAAAAAGTTTTTAAATTAAAACTGCTTTAAATTAACTCATTTACGAAGTTGTGACCGTTCTGTTTTTGCTTTGTCAATATGGTGTATGGAGTGTAGATTGATGTGGAAAAAAAGTAATTTAAAGCAGTTTATCATAAGGCAGGAACATGAAAAAAATGAAGTGCTATGAATACTTTCGCAAGGCGCTGTAAATATTAAAAATACAAGAGAATAGCATTTTATTTTCGTGAGAGGGCCATCGAATTTTGAATATATTTGAATATATTATATTTTTGAATATTAAAATATAAACAAACTATTGAGCTGTTAATCGTTATATAATGTATTTATTGATATATTAATGAAAATGATTAAATAGTGTTAACATTAAAACTGCTTTAAATTAACTCATTTACGAAGTTGTGACCGTTCTGTTTTTGCTTTGTCAATATGGTGTATGGAGTGTAGATTGATGTGGAAAAAAAGTAATTTAAAGCAGTTTATCATAAGGCAGGAACATGAAAAAAATGAAGTGCTATGAATACTTTCGCAAGGCGCTGTAAATATTAAAAATACAAGAGAATAGCATTTTATTTTCGTGAGAGGGCCATCGAATTTTGAATATATTATATTTTTGAATATTAAAATATAAACAAACTATTGAGCTGTTAATCGTTATATAATGTATTTATTGATATATTAATGAAAATGATTAAATAGTGTTAACATATTTTCTTTTTGAGCACAGGTATTCAGAGAACAGCAATGTCACACACTATGCACACTTCACATGCACACTTGTAATAACACCATTTGCCACTAGCTGTCAGTATCAGGTCATGTTTTCTTCCAGGCATCTCTTTTGAAAGTCTCCAATGATCCTTCAGCTCCTCTGTAACTTTTGTCTTTTCTGTTTCATTTGCAGATCGTTTTTGCTAAAGATGGCCATTATGGGCTTGAGGACCTCTCCGAGTCTGGTTATGAAGTTGTGAGTCTTGACTGGACCACAGATCCACGTTCAGCACGGTTAGTCACAGAAATGTGATGCAGCTTTGATGTGAGATTTTGTCTTCTGATTTCAGTGTTATACCTACGCATACAGCGCCTTGCAAAAGTATTCACACTCATAAGCAATTCTCGCTTCCAGGTCCTTTACTGCAGTTTTGTTCCTCCATCTTTTTTTTTTTTTTTTTCAAAGAACTGCGTCTCTCATTTGAATAGGTGTGATTTTTGGCCTCATCTTCTAGGCAGATTTGCTCCAGATTGTTTAGCTTTATTAGATGACATTTGTGCACCACATATTTCAAATAGTGTCACAGTTGGAGTATGAAGAGGGCTTTTATCACTGCTGTCCTTCAGATTCAGTCTCAATTCACAGCCGGAATGTTGAGTGTTTCTTGTTTTTTTATATATATATTAGTTATTTTAATGCTTCATAGCTAAAAGTCAGTTGTGAGAGAGTTGTGTCCTCATTACACTGTTCTGTTTCATTTTATGCAGATGAAAAACTCTAGTTTATAGAATTAAAAACCGAAATGTCAAAGACAGCCAAATGTCAATATAGGATTTCTAATCCAGTAAAATGAAATGCTTTGGTTGAGTCTGAATAGTCCATTAAGGCACTGTGTGTACAGAATGGACATAGAGTACCAGTCAAAGCTTTAGACAAACAACTAATTTTTTTTTTTAAGAAACTCCTTGTCTAGATTACACATTCTCATTCGTGCTGGACACATATATGGGCTGCTCTTCCTACACTTCCCACATCTGGTTCAATACATCCATTTCTAATAAAGAAATTAATTACAAAATTTAGTTAAAAAAAAAAAAACCTTCATACAGAGACAATTTTTATTTTAAGCGAAAGCGACGTGACATGTAGCCAAGTATGGTGACCCATACTCTGAATTAGTGCTCTGCATTTATCCCATCCAAAGTGCACACACACAGCAGTGAACACACACACACCGTGAACACACCCGGAGCAGTGGGCAGCCATTTTTTTTGCTGCGATTGCCGGGTAGTAGTTGGGGGTTTGGTGCTTTGCTCAAGGGCACCTCAGTCGTGGTATTGAAGGTGGAAGAGAGCGCTGTACATTCACTCCCCCCACCTACAATCCCTGCCGGTACGCGACTCGAACCTGCAACCTTTGGGTTACGAGTCAGACTCTCTAACCATTAGGCCACGACTTCCCTAAGCAACTTATAGCTACATTTTTTTTACTGTGTTCCAACCTTTTGCCTTGTGTGAGTGTATTGTGATGTTTGGCTATTTCTCAGTGAAAGAATGGTCCTTAAATTATATATATATATATATGTATATACAGTATATATGTATATGTTATGTTTGTGTTTTTCAGTATCAGGACTGGAGGAAAAGTTAGTTTGCAAGGCAACATGGATCCCTGCGCTCTTTATGCCACAAAGGTGAGGAAAGGAACATCAAAACGACACCCAACAGAATCATGTTTCCATTGAAACCCAACCAATCCTCTGCTTTACTTCAGTTTAGTCTACGTTGTATATAAGTGTTTTGTGCTTCAAAAGCATTACTTTACTTCTGGTTAGTCCATTTCAAAATAAAGAGGCCATTTTGTTTTTACAAATTTAGGCCCTGCTGGAAATATGAGCCGTAAGAGCAGCTGTTTTCCACACAGAGTCGTCTTTGGCTTTCATTGCTCGTTCATTACAAGCATGGCTTTCATAGCATTGTCTCGATGCCTCCGAAATACATTTTTTCCACCATCATTTCAGAAGTTATGGGAGTGTTTAAAACCCTGTAGCTCGTAGATTTTGACCAGAGGACAAACCTGATGTATGATATCCAACCCAAACACTTCTTTTCGTTTATGTGTGATCAGGAGCGCATATCAGAGATTGTGAAGAGGATGTTGGAGAGCTTCGGCACCAAGGGCTACATCGCTAATCTGGGTCACGGCCTCTACCCTGATATGGACCCAGAAAATGTGGGTGCGTTTGTTGAGGCCGTTCACACCCATTCTCGCCAGCTCCTCAACCGCAAATAAGAGGTTACTCTCCCATCAGAAGACCCTCCAAAACACAAGAGAAGCAACAACTGTTGGTGTGCACCGCTTTATCGTTAGATATGTTACAGGGTGAACCTCTCTCAAAATCTGTCAAGAAAATGTCCAGTTCTATTTCACTCCAAAATGAAAAGAAATAAGAAAATAGTTTTGGCTTAACGAGGAAGGACCATTAAGGCTTTACATTTCACATTTCCCTCCCAAATTCTCTTTACCATACACTCGTAAGAATGGTTCTAAACAGTACCAGAAAAGGGTCCTTCAGCTTGTAACAATAGCAGAAGCCTTTTTAGTGCTAAATAGAACCCGTTTTATAGGGTTCCATAAAGAACCATGCTTTGAAAATGCTATATAGGACCTTAGTGGTGTTATAAATATTATTTTTAATGATAGTTTATTTTCATTAATATTAGTATATTAACATATTTATTAATATAGTTTTTTACTCTGTCTGCCTGGTATTACAATATCCTGCTACAAAAAAGATTTTCATTCACAGTACCATAATGTGAAATATATATAACATTTAAATAAATTAAAAAAGGATAGCTCACCTTAATTTATGCTGATTTAAGTAAAAAAAAATGCAGTTTTTTAGAATACTGTATTACGGTAATAATCATATAATGATATGCAATACAGTAATGAGAACTTGGGGGTAAAATATGCCTAAATGCCAGATATCTTAATTATCTCAAATGTAGGCTTCATTTTCTTTATGAAAAAAAGTATTTAAAAGTATTTCTTTTTTTTGTTTTCTTTTCTTTTCTTTTTTTTCTGATTTTGTGGTGAAATGTGACCCAGATATTTCCTGACAGGCTTTTGAGAGATTCACCCAAAAGGCTGTTCCCGAATCATTTCAATGATTATGTAGGCCATCTTTCTATTTTACCTAATTTTTTTTTTTTTATAATGGCTCCACACCAATCCATCTAATCTTTAATATAATTTTCAGTGGAAACATGTTTTTCTCAGTTGGATTGATGTGTTTTCATTAGAGCCGATGTACTGTACGATCACTGAAGAATGTGGAGTAAGTGAAGGATAAATCTTATCAAATCCTTGTTTTTAATGTAGTACCATAGTAACATCTGGGCTTGAGACTGTCTTGCCTAGAATTGTGACTGACACTAATGAACCTCTGAGAATGTGTGTACATATCAATGGATGTTTTATAAGAAGCGCAATAAAGAGTGATCTAAACAAACATCCCTCAGGGGAATGTCTCCTATCTGAATATCACATACCTAAATCATGTGCACCCCCCCCCCCCCCCCCCCCCCCCCACAAATAAGCACCCTGGGTAAGCAAATCCTTAAATCTTGTTGTTTTTTTGTTTTTGGGCGGGTGGGAGTGGGATTCCCCAGCAACGCATCATGTGATGTGACACATGCCAGATGATTTGATGAACCCTGAACTTCAAAACAAGGATTTATTGGAATTTCTATACATTTTTCAATCCTGTTAGTGCTTTCGGAACCCCATTTGTGTGTGTAAAATTGCATAGTTTGGATGTGGGCTTGCAAATCCGTCATTTGTTAGCATAACAGAATGATTTCTAATTCAGTTTTGGTTAAAGTTGTTTACTGTCTGTTTTACAAGCAACCACATGATGAATGTTTTTCCACACTCTCATACGGTCATTTAGTGTGAAATGGTGGCAGCTGCAGCCCTCTTTTACCCTCATCTGCCAGTGTGCGGTGTTGTCAATGCTGGATAAGTCTGGCCTTGATTGTGTGTTAGGTGCTGAAAGAAGAAACGTCCTGTAATCAATTTGCTGATTAGTGTTGTTGGATTTTTAAGCCACTGTCGCTCACCGCTAGTTTGTGTCCTTGGAGCACAGCTGGGATTGGGGAGCTGGGCCAGTTTCCTAGTGAGGCACATACACACGTGCAAGGGGCTCCTGGCAGTATTTTTAATTGCAACAATGAATGAAAAAAAAATCCCCAAGGTCTCCTATAGGAAGCCACAAGGGGATGATAGGGGTTTGGGCTTAATCTCTCAGCAAATCAGCAGGCCAGAAAATCCAATATGTTCCTGAAGACAGCAGGCTGTACATCATTTGTCAGGTCCTGGCACTATCACTGCTTTATCAGATGGGAGGGTTTGGGGGGGGGGCTTGGCCTAAGATTGAGTTGAAATTTTGGGTATGAATTTCAAGTTGTTGTCAGTACTGTGGAGTCCATCTTGTAAAATCCAAATTGATTGGTCATTAATAATTTGCTTATTCTATGCTGATTTTCTCTTTATATTTATTTATTTATTTTTACAATTCCACATTAACAAAAATTTTGTTGGGCAAAAATGGTTGTTCGTCTATTGTCAGTAGTATAGTGTAGAAATGTATGAAGCACAGCTTACACTGAACTCATGTTCAATTCAAGCAGGTTTCTAATGGTCAATGCAGCGAATGCGTGGCCAATATAAATCAGTTGCAAAATCTGCATGGGGAAATATTTCACCCTCAAATGACATTCCATGAGTGAATAATTTAATGACTTACTCAAAATCAAAAGTCTACTTTTCAACAGTCATCAGCATTGTAAACACTGCAAAGTTCTCAATCTCTCAATTGTTCCCTCTTTTTGCAGTGCTTTTCTTTGGAACGTCGCTTGGCTAATCAAATTCGAAGACTGGAAGTAACTTGTATAAATGTATAAACCACTGTATTATGACCATGAATTAACAATGAACTTAATGATTATATTTATAGATTTGCATAAACCTAGATTAATAAATAATGTAATAGTTTATTTAACCTCTTAAGACCTGAGAAAAGATTTTTAGGAAAAAAAATAGTTTTTTTCATGTCTTTACATTGTTTAGAGCATTAAAAATAATGTAAAACTTTTTTATAATTTTTTTTATGATATTTCGTTCATAAGTTATGTTATGTCCTCGTTTTTTTTTTTTTAAATAAAAAGACATGAATGCATAGGCAAAAACAATAGATTTTTTTTAAATCACCAATACATTTTTAGTTTTCAGGATTTTTTTTTTTTAAACCAAACTATGTATAAAAGATGATTCGCAACCATGTTATAACGGAATGATTTGATATATCATTTTTCTTTTGGCAAAATGTGTGTAAAATGGCCATAAACGGGTTTTCTCATTTTATACAATGTATCTATAAACTAAATCTAACTTGCATATTAATGGTTTTTGGGGCAACATGTAATGAAAAAAGAAGTGTAATAATGGGAGTAATATTTGACTTTGAAGATTTTCGAAGATTTGAAGATTTTCATAATAATATATAATATTTCATATTGAAACATAATTTCTTTCCCTATTCATTTATGTCTCCCAAAATGCGTAATAAACATGCTTTTAGTCCCAGTGTCCTCATATGAGGACATGTATGAAATCAACATCCTGTTTCGTAACAGAAAGTCATATTTTGATTTGAAACCCCATAACATTTTCCTGAGATGTTGATTTATGACAGACAGTTTAAAAATTAGACATTTAAATAATTACAAAATATTATCATATTTCCATAAGAGTGTCACTAAATTAATATCAGACATATTTGAAGACCAAGGAGAGTGAGTGGTCATGGTGAAACATCCAAACATTTAGTATCTCTGAAAAGCCCTGAATGTGCTCTGGCCAGGACATCCAGACTTAAAACTGTGGCATGTACAGTCTCAGAGAAATACACCAAAATATAATGTCCTCATATGAGGTTACAGGGTGGTTAAAAAAAAGTGTAACCAATTACCCATATCACAGCTGTTCAGCTTGAGCTTTCATTCTGTTCCGTTCTTCCGTAATCCACTACAGCTTTCCATTCCAACTCAGCCCACCTAAAAAAAAGTCCCAAGCTGCCCCACCCCTCTTACAGAGTCTTCCGACACCCCAATTACAGAGGGATTCTGGGAACTTCAGAGCAGCAGAACAAAGCTCTGCAAATCAGCTCCCCTATGAACACAATATGTGATTACGCTGACAGCAGAACCTGCCATGCCGGGTACAAAGGACAAAGCTTCCTCTCACTGCACAAACCTGCCCAGAAGCACAACAGTTCTCCGAGTTGCCTGACAGGCTCGTGTGCTCCATGATTGCGTTTAGACTTCCTCGTTCTGATGATGGGTTGGGTTCTAATTAAAGAAAAGCCTCCGTTACATTGTTACACTTATAAACAATGATTGTTTCCCCCATCAAGCCCAACACCTACTCTTCGCTCCAATCTGACAGGCTCAGCCCGCGCTGGAAGCTCACAAGAAGGTGGGAAAGCCAATTACTCGTCTCTCTTTTCCTGGTGTGTCACTTCTGCTAAATCACTGAGCTAAGGAAATGCCTTCTCTTTGCAGCGTGTCTAACTGAGCCAACCCCATCCATATTTCAGCTGGCAGCATTGCCAGGCTTGACAAACACTTACTCAGTGGTCCTCACAGGAGCGCGGCGCTGCATTGGGTCCAAGACACAATGAAGAGCAGCAGCTGTGAGGGACCCTGATGGATGGGATAGTTTGTATAAGCAGGCCCAAAGAGCATTGTTCCTGTCGACTGCATCTCTAACACAGTCGATCACTCTGACACAAGGTTTTCCTGGCGTTTATTGTGATTCAGACGCTGAGTTTCTAAAGAGGAGAGCTGGGGATGTAGTCTGGACAAGATGTGTGGGGGTACTGAGCTGCTTTTTTTAATTTAAATTTTTTTTTATAACTGCAGTGATATTTCTGACCACTTTCTGAACTGTTAAATGCTTACTTCTGCTTAAGTTTCTTTTTTTAAGTATTTCTCTTCTGGGGAAATGGAGTAAAAAAAATATCCCCTTCACACACTACCATTCAAAAATGTGGGTTTGTTAATAGTTTGTTTTTTTAAAGAAGTCTATTTCTTATTACATTTTTCTATTTGAACCCATTTTAAGACCACATTTTTTCCTGTGATGGCAAAGCCATTGCTGTGGTCTTCAGTGTTGCATGATCCTTCAGAAATGAAATGATTTGGAGCTCAAGAAACATTTCTTCTTAATGTCAATGTTGAAAACAATTGTGCTGCTTAATATTTTTGTGAAAACAGCAATATATTTCTTTTACAGAATACTTTGATGAATAGAAAGTTCAAAAGAACAGCATTTATTTGAAATACATATTTTTTTGTAAATACGGACAACTATTAATACAAAAATAAATAAAAAATACACGCCATTCGATGTGCCAAATTCCTGCTTCAAGAGGAAAAGTTGCACTTGAGCTAGCTGTATATCATAATAAGTTTAAAGAGGCAAAGTTGTGTTTCACACTTTATTCATAGAAAAGCAC